TCCCCTTTCTTCACCAACTATGGGTTCCACCCTACTTTCCTGCCGGATCTGGTTTCAGAGAACTCAGTCTCAGTAGCCCAAGAGACCCTAAATTTCTTCTCAACCAATAATAAGTTATTACAGGAAACAATGGCTAGAGCCCAGGAAGAGAGCAAGAGGTTTTTTGACAGAAGGAGAAAAGGGGAAATGGTCATACACTCCGGGGATCGGGTTTGGTTGGCAACAACCAACCTGAAACTGGCATGTCCATCTAGGAAATTGGCACCCAAATTCGTGGGGCCTTTTCAAGTAGAACGTAAGGTCAATGAGGTGGCATATAAACTAGCACTTCCTGAATCTCTTAAGATACACCCCGTCTTCCATGTGTCGCTGTTGAAACCTGCAGTACCTGATCCTTTCTCAGATCGCAGATCTAGACCTCCAGAGGCCATAGACATTAATGGGGAAGAGGAATTCGAGGTAGAGGCAATTATTGACTGCAGGAAAAGGGGTGGCCAAACACAATACCTCATTAAGTGGAAAGGCTATGGGCCACAGGAGAATTCGTGAGAACCTGCTCAAAATGTCCATGCTCCCAGATTGTTGCGGGAATTCCTTCGCAACCAGCCTCAAAGGAGGAATCAGGTGGGCATCTTTCCGTGATCGCGCTTGGGTCTGCGCATGCGCGGTATGCCCAGCCACACTAGCGTGCGAGCATTGGGACCTGGGCACCCGCGACAGCACTGGCGGTCGCGCATGCGCACTCACAATCGCGGACACACGCCTGGCACCAATTAGGGGGCAGGGTTCCTATTTAAACAGGTCAGGTCTGTGCTCTAATTGCCGTGTGGTCTTATCTGTATCCTGTGTTCCTGAATTAGATTGCTTGTTGCCGACCCTGCCTGACCTTGATTTGCTGACTGTCCCCTGCTCTGATCCCTGGCTTGCCTGACCATTCTCCTGTCTGATCCTGTACGTTTTGATCTCCTGTTACCGACACGGCTTGTGACCAATTTATTCTTCTGTCTACTGTTTTGTACCGTGCTGCCTCCACCGCTACCGACCCGGCCTGCCTGACCCTGCTCTTTCTACCTCCTTACAACAGGCTCTCACCTGCTATACACCTCCGGCAAGTGCTTCTACCACAGCTGGGTACACCCAGGGGCCGCGACCTGGTTTCGGCCTGCTCCAAGTCCATCCCCACTATCAGGGGCCCTGGTGAACAAGCAGGTCGGGGCTTAGATTCCGCGCCTTGGGGAATTCCGGTCTGTGGAACGCTAGAGGCTACCGACGGCAGGTCCATAACAGTAGCAAAGTGGAATAGTGGTGAGATGAAGGAATGTAGTCCTAGGCAACACTCTCCCATCAGAACAGAGCCCCCCTGCTGTACCGATCAGACTCTAAGGCTCTCTCCTTCCAGTTCTTGCAGTCCTCCACACGGACATCTGTCAGTATGCCCCTCTCAGCCTTTCAGCTCCTTCAGTAAAGGTAGCTGACAGGACCAGAGAGGCATGCTGACAGTGAAGGCATCAAGGACTGGATAGGGACACCCAAAGGGCCATATAATTTTCTTATGTTTTCCATACATTGTCTTCTATCTTCTGATTGTGCTTTGTGTGTTATTAGGCACCTAACATGCAGCACAGCTACTGATGCTCTAGTTTAAGTGTCAGGTTCAGATATAGAAAGTAAAGCTAAAGAGAAAACTATAAATTCTTTATAAATAACCCTGCAGAAGGCTGCAGCTTTTAAATTGGGCTCAGTTTAATACCATCTGCACCCTGGTCCCCACTGACCTACATGGGAAAATGAAGATTTAAAAGTCTGCCCATCAAGACCTTGGATTTATTGCTCTCCAGGCAAAGGAGATGATTTTCTTTGTTATTTCTACAGAGCATATTCATCAAACAGTGCTGGGTAATACTATGATACAGTAACATCCTACCAATTTTATCAGCCAGATAAACAGAGTGCTCTCATTAAGATGCCCCCTGCAGCTCAGGCACTGGAAAAAGCTCTCCAGCCTTATTTTCTAAAACACCCTTCCGAAAAATTTTAAGGGAACACTTTAATGTAGGATTGTGGCCTCTTAGGACTGTATCCAGCAACTTTACTGCTTGTTCCTAAAAAATGATTAAATCTAACATTCCCAAAATGCATTGTTCCAGTAACTTTCCGATGTACACAGACAGGTAGAGACAAGCCATGAAATTTAACCACTTCAAGTCCGGAGACTTTCACCCCTTCCAGTCCAGGCCAATTTCAGCTTTCAGCGCTATCACACTTTGAGTGAAATGTACTCAGTCATACAACACTGTGCCCAAATGAAATTTTTATTCTTTTTTTGAGACAGATAGAGCTTTCTTTTGGTGGTATTTGATCACCACTGGGTTTTTTATTTTTTGCTATATAAATGGAAAAAAAATGAAAATTTTGAAAAAAATATATTTTTGCTCAGTTTTTGTTATAAAATTTTGGGGTGTGATCAGGGCACTGGTATGGTTTATGGAGGTCATTAGGGTATTGGTATGGGGTGTGGTGGTGATTAGGGAATTGATTTGGGGTATGGCAGTGATCAGGACATTGGTATGGTGTATGGGGGTATTTCTGTGCTCACTGGGACAGGTTACAGGGGCTAGCTGCATTATTTATTATGGATATTCTGGGGCAGTAATCAAGGACACAGGGGCACTTAAACTGGGGCAATGGGGTGGCTGTCACTGCAGTTTGTGAGCATACAAGCAGCCTGACAGATTGCTGTACACATACAGGCTGATCGCTTCTCTCTGCTCTCACACTGAGATCAGAGAGAAGCGATCTTTACTTTCACTTTACAGTGTTTACAATGTGAGTGTTGTGATTGGTTACAGCAGTCACATGGTAGAGCACTATTATTATTATTATTATTATACAGGATTTATATAGCGCCAACAGTTTGCTCAGCGATTTAGCACCATGTGATTGCCCGGACACAGTGGTAATGTGATCCGCTGTGTCCGGGTGATATAGTGATTTCCAGGCTCCCCGATGCACACTCTATGAACCACGCAGGAGCCGCCGGGCTGACGTACAGGTACATTGGCCTGCATTGGTAAAGCTTCCTGTCTGCCGTTTATGTACAATGGGCAAACAGGAAGTGGTTAAAGTATATCTAAACAAAATGTTAATATATGCAGCTTACTACTTCTTAGATCTGGTGGCTGCATTAGATTTCTGTTTTAAGATTGTTTTCCTTTATGTTCACCTGGTGACCCGGCCAGTAATACACTTCTAATCTTAGGGGGCTTCCTTTATCTTTGGAGAAACAACAGAGACACCTTTGGACTTGTAGATTTAGATCGACTTTACATAAGTGGCTAAAACAATTATAGTTGAATTCTAGCTAACACTTTTTAAGCAGCTGCAGAAACTGTTTTTTTCCTTTACAGCTTGGTCTATTAAAAGAAGGAGAAAAATAACAGACTCACTGGACAGACCACCAGGTGAAAGTAAGACCCTTGAAGAGTCTAGATACCCTTCAAGAGTAGAAAGGGGGAAGTTAAATAGAAATGGTCTGGACCACACAGAGAGGTTAATGGTCGGAAAGCCTGACTTTAGGTAATCTAGACTCCATAGACATAATCGCAACTAATATTTACCATACAAAATCCGGCACAGTGGGGAATTTTACATACATAATAAAAAGCCCCAAAAAATACAAAAATATATATTGGAGCAAAATGCGGTGTGTGAACATTGCAGTTATTACAGAATAAGAAATGAAAACCTCTGTGCCAATACTGAATACCTTTTCTGCTAGCTTTTTCAATTATCTCTAGCCATGCTTGGATTGATCACAATAATAAAGAATAGTAGGCTGTGCAAGGACATACCATGGAAGCTGATAAGGAATAGTAGAAGGAAATATTTTGGGAGCATATAGGGAACAGTGGATTGTAAAAGGACTTTTCATGGACAATCATAGGAAACAGTAGATATGCTTTTACAGGTACCCACTCCCACTTCCGGCTCAGTTCGCCGCGGTGAAGTGAGCCAGAAGTTTGGCACCCTCCTTCTTCCTGCAGTCTCCAGGGCAGCTTCACAGGTCCCAGAAGACTGCTGGACCAATCAGGAGGAGCAGCGCGACTTGCGCATGCACAGTGGCTCCTGGCTGTGAAGCCGCAAGCTGTCACAGCCTGGTGCCCACAGTTGAGATGCCGGCGCCGTGGAGAGAATAAGAAGAGAGGGGGCGGTGCGGGTGAGCACATCACTGGACCCTGGAACAGGTAAGTGTGTGTTTATTAAAAGTCAGCAGCGACAGCTTGTTGTAGCTGCTGACTTTTAATAAACACAAAAACGGCTGGAACTCCACTTTAAGTATTGGGGTGCAGTAATGACTCCTCTGGCTAGGTTCACATCTGTGCGGATGGCGCGGCTGTGGATCCGCACAAAACTCCGTGCGGCCGCACCACCCGCACAGAGGAATGCGGACCCATGGGTGGGTGCCATTAGTTCTAATGACACGCCGCCTGCATTGGAAAACGCAACTGTACTGGGAACCGAGGTTCCCATGAGGGCTGCGGTTTCAGAATAGAAAATGAATGGGCTCTCGTGCCCACGCAAAACGCGGCCCGCACGGCCGCATATATGTGAACCAGGGGTCAGGCAGTAGGAGAAACTGTTGCAATCTTGTTATAGTGTGACAATTAAAGAAGTGTGAAATTTTTCAGTGCTGATTACAATTCTGTTTCATTGATTATTGCTCAACAACACCATCCATTGGTAAGTGATTACAACACCCCAATACTTGAAGTCTCAAGCTGTATACGGTTCACCGGAGTACACTAGTTTTGGTTTACAGTTCCGGCTTTCTTACTTTCAGCCTAATATCTGATATGCCAGGTTTTATGATGTGTTAAACAAGAATGATGTGGAATAAGTATCCTAGAAATGTTTAAAATTGCAAAGCAATGATTTCCTTTTTAATTGTTCCATTATGGACATCAGGAAGTATTGTTTGAGATGAATTTTGGAAAGTTACCTGATAGGTAGATGTTGTCTCCTGCACTGACCACACTGAAGAATTCCCGGTCATAGAAGGGAAGGCTGGCCAGTGGGTACCATTTGTTGATCTGTGGATTTAAACACGTCACAGCCGTCAATGTTCTCTGATTCATTCCTATCATCTGTCGACCACCAACCAGTACAATGACTTCTGCTACACCTGCATTAAGGAAATCAGAAAAAAAAGCACTCTAAATAGCAGATAGACTAGCGCTAGACAAATCAAGAACCTAGTATCCAATACTTCCTATCTGACAATACAATCTCCTTTATAAATACCCACTATACTGCATAGTGCAAGAGCCTACCAACAATGCACTGAGTTTCAGGAAGAACCTTACACTACATGGTGGTCTGGAAATCTAAAGGAGATTTCATATCATAATGTGTGCAGCCAACTTTAAATGTATATAAATCCAATCCCTGAAATATCATGCAAGCTTTAACATGTTAAGGGGTCTATTTAAACTAGGCCAAACCTAGGAACAGCTGCCTATATATTTCCAAATAGGCGGTAACTGGAAATAACAAGATTTGCTTAGTTTGCATCAAACTAAATTTTTTACTTGAGTGGCGACCAGATATTCATTGATACAACTGTTCTTTAATTAAAGGTAAATTCCACCTTTTGCAAAAAAAAAAAAAAAAATGAATCTCTGTACCCACATTAGTAAAATAAAAAATGTGCATTTATTACATTTTTGCATTGGAACCTGCAGAGCATTTCAACTTCAAACAGTAGATCGTGGTTTCAATGCATAGGCTTGTGCAGACTCTTCCCTTAGCCCCAGGCCAAAGGTACAAACCCCTTCATTTGTGGGGCTGAAGGAAGTAAACAATGGACTATGAGTGTAGTGGCATCACCAGATTTGTGCTCCATTAAGATCTACGAGTCTCTCTGCCACCGTAGCATATGGGACATGTAGTCTCTTTAATTCACAGGTTTCTTTGAATGGATGACGTGGCTGTGCAGGTGGAGCCATGCACAGCTGTGCCCAATTCAAAACTAGACATAACCCAATGGGCAGAAGCACCCTGCGATTCAGGTAAGTGCGGTTTGGAGGTAGGGGGATGGGAAATGTTACCAAGTTTCATGTTACAGCCTAAATATGGTCCCAAAGGTTGAATCAGCCTTTGATTCCTCCACCACCCTTGAGAACAATCCACCTGCACAAACACTTCCCTTCCCCCTCCAACCAATGGCCTTGTGTCTGGCACAAGAGTGTTAGATCAAGGAAGAAGGCACGTATTTGAGCAGTTAGTCTGCACACAGGGTGTTGGGGGGAAATCGATTAAAGGACAATTGTTCTAAAGGTGCAGTTATACTTTAATTGACCCAGTCAATGAATAAGCAGGCAGCAGGCACCTCTTTATAAGCAGACCACTAATATTTCAGTATCAGTATATACTTGTCCTCCAGGATACTAATGGGGAGATCTTTGGAACTGTTGCCCTTATGTCAGAATCTCACAATTTCCAATTCAGCAACCGATTTGGCGCTCTGAATTCTACAAGAAAGCTGAAATGGGTAGTATTATACCTCTTTTTAATGGTTGTTGCATGGGGCCAAAGGATGAAATTAACAACTGTGCATTTAAACTCTGCAGCATCTACCAAAATACTATATGTGGAAAGACTCTTTCATTTATGGTCTGGTTCATGATAATTTGTCTATCCATAATATATAATATAAGAGTATATTTGGATTTTTAGTGTCTTGGTTCAATTTCTGATAGATACAAGGCAAACTAATGACTGAATTACAATGTAAAACCATGTCCACAGTTAGAAAAGCTAAAGCGAAGACATTACCGCGATGGATTCCATGGTTTTCTTTTAATAATCATTACATATATTTAGCAGTATTTCAAGGCCACAATACATTAGCCCAGATTAGAGCCTTAGAAAATATATCATAAATCAGTGAATTCATTACAGCAGTCTTAGACAACAAAAGCCAAAGAACTGATGATTTCAAGACTTGGTTTTGTCATCTTAACAAGACGTTTTGACAAATGTGTGTGAAATTTGGGCAGATTTAGGTTGCTTAACAGGTGGCTTAATACATTGATATGGAAATGACCCAGTAACACTGGCAATTATGCATTATGCTAGTGGTAATTTTTTTTAACACAGGACCCGTTATGCATTGTGTCGAGAACCAAGACAAGCACTATCCACTTCTGTATGGTTAGCACTGCAGTCATGGTGAGCCACAATCCTTTTATTACTAAGATTCATCTTCTCATTATGGCTTCTACCAAGAGACTCTTCCAAGTACTTTGTCAACCAGTGTCATCAATGCTGTGGATATAATTTATATGAATTTATCAGAATACCATTTAGCATTGTCAAGTCCAGCCAAATGCATTTTGTTTTCTTTTCAAAGAAATGTCAGAACCTCTATCAGATTTGTATTGCTGTATGTGACCTCCATTATTTTCCTAGGATATTAAGGGGGATTTTCTCAATAGGAACAAAAACTGGAAAAAAATAGGACAAATACTACCATAAAAATCCATTTCTTGGAGTTCATTGAGTGACACAGGATTCAGAAACAATTGGGTTATAATGCTGCCTACAGGAGGATTTGGACACTGGCAAACGAAAAGCTGTAACCAGCCCAGTATAACCCCTTCCACTCCTAACATGCCCCAGTTTTGCAGAAAAGCATTACACAGAGGGGTGGGATCTGTGTCCCTCAATTAACTCCAAGAAATGTATTTTATGATAAGTACAGAAATCAGTTTTTTTTTCCTATTCACTTTGGTACACAGGACTCCGAGACAATTGGGGTGTCCAAAATCATTCCAACTAATAGGAGGACAAGTGCAACAGAATGCAAACAGGACCACAGAACACTAATATAACTTGGGGCTGACTGCAGGTCAAACAGCCACCTGAAGGAGCTTATGGCCAAACTTGGCTTTACAGGAGGCCTGAACATCCAAATGGTAATGATTTGAACTCCAGGATTCTGCTTTCTTTGCTTCAGATCACTTTCAAGACTCTACTAACTTCTTTGAAAGTACTAATGAAAATGACTCACTTTTCATATATTAGAGGATTTTCCTCCCCAGCAATGTCATCATGTCCCTCAGACCCTACTTTGACCCTGGGAGGAGGAATTCTATTTGTCTGCATGTTACATCCATCTTAGGAATCCACACTACATCTCATATAATGCTGAGGGAAAAGGTGGAAATGGCAGTCGTGTGTGTGTGTGTGGGTAGGCAAAGCTGGGGCTGAAAATGCCTATTAATAAGAAGGCACATCAGAAGTGGAATGTTCAGACTGGGAGATTCAGACTCCAGGGTCTGCTTACTTCTATGAGTGGGGACGTAGTTACGTCCCTGCTCGCTGAAACAAAACTTCAGCAGAGAAAGTTACCAGACTGGTGGCCAGGGGAATACAGGGCAGAGTGGCCAATGGTCTATGAAAAGGGATGTGCAGGGGAATGAGGACTGCAAACAATCAAAGATTCTATAGGCTTCTCAGAGCCAGTTTATAGATGAAAGAAAACAAGAATTCTTTTATTTAAGGTATAAACTCACCTTTCTATATAAAGGCCCATAAATACTATTTTATTATTTTTATTAAATTTTTTTTCTCATGTTAACAACAAACAAAAACAAAACAAAAAAAAAAGAGAGAAATTTGCCTAACAAGACACAACATAGAGACGCAGCACAGGACAATACAGAAGTGGCAAGACTTCTGATGGTTGATGTACGCTACTGTTGTACTGTTGTCTAAGACAACTTAACTGACAAGGTGTCTAGGATTTTTCCCCAAGATCTTCTAAGAGATCAGTAGGAAGTATATTCTCAACTTTTTAACCAAAGACTTCTTCACATGTCCACCAACAAGAGACTCATTTTGGATATAAGATGGGACACATCCACCAATTTGTCCATGCAATAACTTAGAGCTGCTGGCATGAGGTCAAAGCACCTCACAAACAGAGTATTGGTTTGGAGGGAAACAAGATCTCCGCATTTGGCTCTAGTTTTGAAAGGAATCTTCAAGCATTTGTCAATGGAATTCTTGGCCATTCTTATTGGGATTGCCAGTGTTTTATTAGGACAGGATACTGTTAGATCCACTGTAAGAAAAGCCCACTGAATGATGGGTAGAGGAGCACCTAAATGATTATGTCAGTGCTTAATCTCTCAGTTAACCCTTTTCTCTTGTTCACAAGCTAGCTCTATTCCATTCACAAAGTGAGTCTTCAAAAACTCAGACCAGAAGCTGTGCCACAGGTCTGGACCTAGAAAATACTTTGTGACTAACACAGTCAACTTAAGTCTAGAAAGTACAACACAGAGCTCCATGCTCAGATGCTGTCCACTCATCGTGTCCAGCAGGGATGAAGTGTGGCCCCCAAAGCTTCTGTCAAGGATACGTCGATCTGTACTGTATAGCTAAGCTCAGAGACTAGCTGCAGCAGCTTCTAGGAGAAGCTTGACTGAAGAAAAAGAATTATCTTGAACGTAGGAAAACAAATGGCTAACAAAAAACTATTCTCGCTAGACAAAACATGTCCATCCTCCTAGGACATCAACAAAAAAAACAAGGCATGATGGCTGTGGGAGACATTAGAGTGGGCTGGTCACTGTTGTTTTAAAGAAAGAAAAATGCCTGGCTGAGATTCTAATCTAATCTCTACTATCCAAAACAAAAGTCTTCTGACTACAGTTTTGGTTTGTTAGGACAAATTCCATCCTGGCCCCTTAATGAGAATGCTTGGATCATTTCCCTATTATGTGTATTTTTTTTTAAACAGCAAAAGTGGACATTTTAAATAAAATCTAAGCAAATGTAGAAAACTGACATTTGAAAAGCTATTCGTTAGACTGCATGCAATTTGAAAGAGTATTCCATAGACAACAGAGGTAGATTAGACCCCCGAAGTTACTGTTGTCTTCATGATTTTTCTTGATGACTATTGTTTTCCTTCCCAAGAAGAAGGTACCAGACTCCTGCTCAGTGTTCTGCCCCTTCTCTTCTTTAGTGATCCTACTGGGAGGGCTTACCCAAACCAAACTTACAAGTTAGCATGTCTGTGAAGGTTCTCATTTATCCAGGCCATGATATGTCTAGTAGTAGTTACATTTAACTGGCTTGATTTGTAATGCTGAAGAAGTTTCCAAATCATCCAAGCCACCTCTTCAGTTCATTAGAGCTGTACTGGTTTTTTGAACAAGCTGAAAAACATCTTTAACATTATAGAAGATGTCTAGATGAATGTGACTAACTACTACTAGATATGCTTCAAGCTAAGAGAATGCTCCAGTCCAACTGCGTCTGACCATTCGACCTCTCCCCTATGTCAGTGGGTAGTGTCTTGTGTTCACTCTATCATTTGTTCAACCAGTCATCTGTTATGATCTGTTCCATCACCGTCTCTTATACCTGCTGATAGTCTTGGCCTTGTCCTTGGAGTCTGCATTTCCTGACGGGCATGTGGGAGCATGTGATACCGCTTTGCTTCATTGACTAAATCTCGACAAGCCTCTGATGACTTTATCAACTCTTCATTGTCAACCACATTGAGTAGATAACTTGGATGGATGAAGGGTAGACGGACAACGGCCAACAATTCAGCAGAATGCTGCAAAAGGAAGACACAAAGCACATAGTGTGTTAAACTTTATCAGAGATAGCAGATTCTTTTCCTATTCTCCTCCCACAACAAAGAATCTGTTAAGGTACAAAGGATTATAAATCTGAATGGATGGTGAAAGTGAGAACCGCACAGCAGGTTTACCAACATGTATTCAAAGAGGACAGGCTCTTGTGCAATTCACATTACAGCTCAAATTACATTCAGTTTCAACAATAGGTTCAATGAAAAGCAAAAGAAGATAGAATGTGAATGGTGTTGTCTATGATCTTGAAGACAAAGCATAAAACAGCAGGCATTTTAGTTGTCAGAGGTGGAATCTTGCTTGATTTCAGTCCAAATTAGCACTTCCAAAAATTTTCTCTGCTTTATATAAAAGGTACACTCCAGGAAAGCAGTTAAATGAACAGTTAAAATACCTAAATACATGCATGTCTTTGCCTGCCAAAATATTTGTGATTTTGCTCACCCATTCTTGTGAGTCACATACCCCTGCCAAACTGAATAGCCAGGTAGCTACCCCATTTATCTCTGTAATAGACAAGTGATACAGCGTGGTCACCTCCACTGCCCAGACACTGCACTGCAGTCATCCCTGTGCTCTTCCCCAGCTCCCTGCTGCTCGAAACACATTAAACGTGCATTCCTGGGCAATGCCATGGAGCCGTATTGTTTCAAAATATGTACTCTCAGTCTGATTCCTAGTGCACAAAGTATTATATTAATATAAAGACAAACCATAGCTGTTTATTATAGCAGACTATCATATATATTTTTGTGAAAAAATAGATAAGGGCGATTCCAATGCTAACATGTCTTTTAAAGCTGTATGCTGGGGGTCTCATTCTAATCCTAGCTTCACTACCTAGTGCAGTGGTCTCTAAACTGTGGCCCGGGGGCTTTGCTTGCTTTTATCCGCCCCTTGGGAAATTTTCCTCCCAATGATGCAAGACTCTATTCCTCCCACTGACACCAGTGATGGGACACTATTCTTGTCATTGGCACCAACAATTAGGCATATTCTTGTTACTGACCTCAACAACAATGTACTACTTCTACCACTGAGAGAAAGTAGGGGGCACTATTCCTCCCACCTTGTTAATTTGGGTTGAGGGGAGTATTAGATGCACTAGCAGATTTAGATACACTAACAAACTGAAGCAGGACTCCAGCTCACATTGCAGTCACACAAGCAATTACAGCAATGTTTTTTTTTCTTTTTGGCATAAAGGTTTTACATAAATAAATAAGAGCTGATCATTGTAAGCACTCCTGTCAGTGGTAAATAGTTTGTCTCAACACTCTAACTGATACATTTGCAGTAGAACTTGTTCTGTTGAAAAACAACAGCCTTACTGGCCAGATCACCAGCTGAAAATAAAGGAAAGAAAGCCTAAAAAGAAACTAATGCAACTACCACATCTATGAATTGGTAAGCTGCAATATAATACATGTTTGCTTTTGGTTTTAATACTGCTTCGAGAGGTGGACCCGCAAAGGATTCCCCAATTTCATGGGAATAAATTGCAGCATAGGATTAGCAGAAAAGGGGTCTATGGTAAAACTTGGTGTCGTATGGGTTGTGAAAATGCTGGGAAAGAACAACTGGACTTGTTATGCTAACCGGGAGCAATGTGCGGGGTTAGCTTTGGAAACTTTGATAGGGTCCCTCGTGACCTTCCTACTGCCATTGATGTTAACATAAAGTATGTCTAATTATAGGACAGGTATCAGGAGAGCTGTCAGCATAGTCAGTACATTACTAGGGACCAGAGATGTGGACAGACACTGTCACGGAAGAGGTAGGCATCAGTGCAGGGAATTCACTGTTAAAGCAGTATTAAACACAAAAGCAAACATTTATTATAATGCAGCTTACCAATTCTTAGTTATGATGGCTGCATTAGTTTCCTTTTTTGTCTTTCTTTCTTCTATTTTCATCTTGTGATTCAGCCACAAACTCTGCTGTTTTTCAGAAGTTCAAGTTCTTCACAGAATGTATCAGTTTACATGAATGAGACCATCCATTTACCACTGGGCAAGGGTGATTAAAAGAATCAGCTCAACTTTTATTTATTCATGTAAAACCTTTATTCCAAAAGGAAAGAAATGTTTGCTGTGATTATAAAATATTAGTTATATTTGAATTCAATTTGTTATTTGTATTAAAATCTGCTAATACATTTAATACTTCCATTCCCCCCAGACTGAGAATGCTGCTGTCTGCTGTGCCTTCTATGCTCATTCCTCCAGAGTTAGGTCTCACTACTACAGGAGGTGTGTTACTGGCCAGATCACCTGGTGAAAAAAGGTGAGGGAAAAAAAACAAAGAAAAGAAAACGGATGCAGCTACCACATATAATGATTGCTAAGCTGCAATATTTTACATTTTTGGTTTAGGGTTAACATTAATTTTCCAGCTAACCACTCTGCCTTCAGTAGCTCTCCTGTCTTTTTCAGCCTCTCAAATCTCAAGGCCTCAATGTAAATTCCAACCCATCCACTAATGCAGCAAGCAGGATCTGAAAGAGGTGGTGGAGTAGTCAGTAAAAAGAAGATAAAGAAAACAAAAGCTGTAGTAGCAATGATAATGACCATCATAATATTTTATATTATCATATAACTGTTAGTACTCCGGCACACGATGACTCTATAGCCCTAATATATACTTCTTTAAACTGTGTTTTTTTGCAGAACTACAAACAGCTATTTTTAAGGAGACTCTGAAAATTTCAGTGCTGGCTGGGATGACTAGAAGCTCAATATAAGAGAACAATATGGGGTTGATTTACTAAAGCTGGAGAGTGCAAAATCTGGTGCAGCTCTGCATAGAAACCAATGAGCTTCCAGGTTTTATTGTCAAAGCTTAACTGAACAAGGTGAAGTTAGAAGCCGGTAGGCTACCATGCACAGCTGCACCAGATTTTGCACTCTCCAGTTTTAGTAAATCAACCCCTATGTCTACTGCTAAACAGATTGTCTATACTGCACAACCTGAAAATGGGATCCGTGACTAGTGACAACGATTCTGAAGTCTCCTCATATGTCTGGTGTCAGCGCTTCTGAATGGAAAGGTCACAGGAGGTAAAGAGTCACAGCAACCTCTTTAATAATACAGCAATGGATACATGCTATCTTCACATGAGAACACCCCCCATAACAACTGCTGGCCTGCTATAGCTATTGTACAGCTACTGCTTGGAGCAGTGTTTATTCAGAGGAGGTTAGGGGAAAGCTAGGCAGGTTCTTCACCTACACTCCAAGAACTAGAGTGGCCTGTGATAGAGCAAAAAGGAAGCGTAGAATGCTGGAGGTGTATCTTGCCGAAGAGTATAGGAAGCCATGGAGTACGGAGTAGTGAGTAGCCATACTGCTGCTTTATAAATTGGCCCCTTAGCCTACAAAGATCGGCTGTAACTCAAGTTATTCATCTTCTGTGAAGTTAACTACCAACTGGCTTAGATGTTACCTGCTCTTTTGAGATCTGCCGCAACTAATTCAACAAATTCTAAAGTCTTCGTCTGAGTTGGTATCTTCTTTAGTCCTCCTCCTCCTCCCAATACCCCATTACACAACCACAGATAGGATGAACAAAGATTTATTAGTTAAAGCATTAGTAAATTAAACTAATTGGTGGACCTTTTGGACTTTATTCGCCTTCGATACTCCATGATAAAAAGACCCCCAAAAATTACGTTGAAAAACTACAAAGGCCGTCTTTGAATTTCACATCAACTGCTGTATCAACCTTCCAGAATAAGTTTTCCTTCATAATATATTTCCTGCTCTCATTCATTATTCCACACAATCCCCTTAGTATCCAATTGAACAATAATAGCTACAACAAGATGCAAATTAATCTAATTTCACAGGCAAAACCATTACAACAAGGACGCATCTCATGAAAAGGAGAATCTTCTCTCTATTCAGACTGCGCTTGCTGGGCCCTCGGGAGCATATGGCAATCTCTGAGGCTTATTTTGTAATAAAGAGACACAGATAACCTTTGGTTCAGGGAGCCTGTCTATTCCGCTACATTGTGAAAGTTTAAAAAAAATCAGCAAGTCACAAAGACATTGTAAAGTGTTGTGAGATGAATGCAAATCTGAACAGCAAACTATATAAAGTACACTTGTACAGAGAAAAAAAGGAAGGCAGAACTGAAAACTGAAAGGCTATGGTCTACTTTAGCTGATCAATTTAATTGGCTACATTTTACAGAATATTTATTAATGGAGAACTATAGCACAATGGCTTAGTGGTTAGCACTTCTGCTTGGCAGTACTGGGGTCCATGGACAGCTTCCTAGTCAGGACTCTCTCTGCATGGAGTTTGCATGTTTTCCTTGCACCTACATGGGTTTCCTCCACTCTCTATAGACAATCTAGTTAAAATATATGTGCCCTAGTATGATATTCTACTGACTGTGTCAAAAATGGCTGCTTCACCAATTGAACCAAAAGAAGATAAAGCACTCTGAGTTCCCAGGGATAAAAGCGCTATAGAAAAAAAATTAATAATAATGGAAAAGAAGGAAATTGTTTCAAAATTAAGATATGCTGAAATCATTGAATTCAGTTAGTTAACCTTCTTTACCCTAGCTAATATACAGTCCGGTCCAGTCCTGAAAGGTTTTGTGTAAGTACACACCAATTTTTTTGCATAACATCGACTGACACCATTTACAATGAATGCAATTGGAAGTATACTATGTTATCACCGAGAAGGAAGAGTGGCCAAAGAGACCATAAAGTTAATCTGGCATGCAGGGCAAAGCAATAAGTTCACTTTAAAGCTGAACTTCAATCCACCCAGCCCACCAAGGGGTAATAGCTAATTTTGCCCTGGGGGGGGGGGGGTAATGAGTATGGTGAAATTCTTCCCATATTCCTTGTTCCTACATGTTTCCTACAACCAAACTCACTGAGCTGCTCTTCTAGCCTCTTGCAGCCTCTCCGAGATCATCATGTACAATGCAGGACCAGTAGCTT